CATGTGCAAGGCACCCTACCTGCTATAATATCATTCCAGCAGTCCTCAAAAAAACTTTTAAATGCATACCTTCATTTTTAAATACTAACTGTCTATCTAACTGTCCTCCTGTTGTTAATCAATTTGCTCTAGCAAACAATAATGTCTCCATTGTGAGACTGTGTCTGGCATATCGAATACGCCACGGTTAGCTTGCCAGGTTTTGCCTTGTGGGCGAGATACTCTCAGTAGCTTGCCGGATTCTCCGGGAGGGGCAGAGGAATCGAACCCGGGTCAGCCAGGTCGGCCGCGTGCAAGGCAAACACCCTACCTTCTGTGCTATCACTCCAGCTCTGCAAAAAAATATTGCTAACTCTCATCAGAGTCTTCAGCAAATTCTGATCTTTCTGCTGGTGGAGATTGAAGAAAAATGTAATGTCTTGATTTCTGAGGCATCTTCAGTGTTTCTACTCCATTGAGAAATAAGACAAACACAAAAACAAACAAATAGGACTACTCAGATTTCAAAACTTCTGTACTGTTAAAGAAACTGTCATTAAAACAAAAACGCACCCTAGTGAATGGGAGAAAACGTTTACATACCATACATCTGAAAAAGAGCTAATATCCTAGGTATGTAAAGCACTCACAAAACTCAACTAACTCCCTCCCTCTCTCTCTCTCTCTCTCTCTCTCTCTCTCTCTCTCTCTCTCTCTCTCTCTCTCTCTCTCTCTCTCTCACACACACACACACACATAAACAAAAAGGGAGAAGAACTGAAAAGACACTAGCTGAAAAGAGACACAGAAGTGGTCAAGAGGTATGTGAAAATGTTTTGACATCACTCCTTACCAGGGACACAACTTAAAACAGCAATGAAGTACCACCTCACACCAGTGAGAACAGTCTATATCAAAGAGGTCAAAACAACTGGTGCTGGGCAGGAATGTGGGGAAAATGAAACCATCATTTACTCTTGGATTGTAAAATGGTTCAGTCTCTGTGGAAAACGGTATGCTTTTTTTCTCAAAAAAAAATAATAAAATGGGGGTAAGGCGCATATAATAGGAGGTAAAGTGTATACTCAGCTGACCTGGGTTCACTTCTAAACATCCCATATGGTCCCCAGAGCACTGCCAGTAGTGACTCCTGAGCACAGAGCAAAAAGTTAATTCTGAGCACCACGTGGTGTGACCGAAAAGAAAGAAAAAAAGCTAGCCAATGATCCAGCAGTTTAACTGCTTGGCATCTAACAAAAACACTACTTGGAAAATCCATAGGCATATGTATGTCTGGTGCAGCACTATTTACACTAAGCAAGACTGGAGAATAACTGAAATGCCCAATACAGGTGAGTGGTAGTAAAGTGGTGATATCTACAAATGATGGAATACTACTCAACAATAAAATAAAATCTGCCATTTTGCTACAACATGGATGAAACTAAAGAAACACAGCAAGAGAATAAACAACATCCAGTGAAAACAGAGTCGGATTCTGACAGCAGAACTGAGATTACTGAGCTCAGGCTGAGGGGTGAGCAGGTGGAAGAACAGGGGCTGCCAGCAAAACAGAACTAGAGCGTATAGAGAAACACTGGCACTTTGGTGGTGGGTGTGGTGCAGAAACGTTGCACACCTAAAACACAAGCAATTACACTATTATAAACTAGAAAGCATTAATTAAAAAAATTATATCCAAATATTCAAATGAAAATGCAGTGTCTACAAGGAGCAATAAAGTTGGGTGTGAAGGAAAAACAAAGTATGCCTGTATAACTTTATTTCATGACATTCTCCCAAATTTATTTAAAATAAGCATATAAATTACCATACAGGAAATGATTTGATAATATCAGTGGGGATATGTGATATTATGAGAACCAGAGAACCAGTGGTCTGATTCCATCCTTAGCACTGCTTTGGCACCCCAAGCACTGCCTGCTTCTGTGCTCAGAAGTGACCCCTGGCAGTGTTTTTGGCACCATATGCAGTGCCAAGGACCTGGATGAGCGGCAGAGAAGTGTCTTACCCACTGGACTATCTCTCCAGCGCTGATTGGTAGCATTTTGCTTGTTTTGTTTTGTTTTTAGTTTGGGGGCATATGTGGTGCAGGGGGACCATTCGTGGTTGGCCACATGCAATGCAAGTGCCTGATAGCTGCACTATCACTCCAGTTCCCGAGTTGGTAAAGGTAAAGGTAAAGGCCCTCCCGTTGATCGTCGATTTGCTCGAGCGGGCCCAGTAACGTCTCCATTGGAGACTTTGTTGTTACTGTGTCTGGCATATCGAATACTCTCGGTAGCTTGCCGGGCTCTCTGAGAGGGGCAGAGGAATCGAACTCGGGTCGGCCATGTTGGCCGCGTGTAAGGCGAACGCCCTACCCGCTGTGCTATCGCTCCAGCCCCGAGTTGGTAATATTTTAAAAACTATTTCTATAAATTGGTTATCCTTTCATTAAATGTACTTTCATTTCATGCCTTTAACGTTTTTCTGAGAAAGAATCCAGGGACTTCACTATACTGTCAGCAGGGAGCCTATCATGGAAAAAGATGTTCAAGATCCGAATTTAGAGCAACAGCCTCAGAGGAAGTCTAGAAATTCTTTTTCCATAGTAGCTGCAGGTGGTGACAAGTGAACAAGACAGCTTTATTGTCAGAAATTATTTCCCTCCTTTATGAGATATCTTATTTTTCTATTCTACAAGCACATGTGTACATAGGAAGAGAAGTCAGGTTTTCGACCTGGAACTGGAAATTACCATATCAGGCTGGGCTCTTACATCTTCCTCAATATCTAGGACAGAACTTTTCAACTTTAATGCATGGTCATCAGAGAACTACATTTTACCTTGACAGTCAAATGAATCACAAATATGTATGCTTGTGTGCATATATCTGATATCTGAACACGTACCTATTTAAACACATAAACGTATATCTTTAAAATAAGATTTCAAAAATATCTTTTCACTTGTCATGCACTTCATTCTTTCTTATTCTGCCCTAGGCTAGTGTTATCCAATTATTTTATGACAACCCATTCAGCTCAATTCATTTTACAACCCAATAATAAAGGAGTTCTAACCAGAGATGGGTTTAGAAAACGATGTCTCTATATTTATATTGGAACTGGTGACTATTTCTCCAATATCACTCTCTCTCTCTCTCTCTCTACTACACACCCCAGTAAGTATATGCACATATGTATGTACACATAAACACAAGTGTATGGATGTTTGCACTACATAGACACATACGAACATGCACACATATATACATGCATGCACACATGCCGATATATATGCATGCGCGCGTGCACACACAACACCCCCTCCTTCTATTCTTTAAGGGTCTCAGAAAAAAACAAAGTTCCAAGTATCCAAAAATGTTACCTCTGATCCTTGACTGAGGGTTTGTCACATAAGAAAGATGAGTTTTATGGGCAGTCCAACTCTTTTATAAAGCTGGAGCAATAGCACAGCGGGGAGGGTGTTTGCCTTGCACGCGGCTGACCTGGCCGACCCAGGTTCGGTTCCTTTACCCCTCTCAGAGAGCCCGGCAAGCTACCGAGAGTATCTCACCCGCATGGCAAAGCCTGGCAAGCTTTCCATGCATATTCAATATACCAAACACTGTAACTAGTGTCACAATGGAGACGTTACTGAGCCCGCTAGAGCAAAATCGATGAACAACGGGAGGACAGTGACAGTTGTTTTTTTACCTTAAGGAACAATCACTAGACCCTGGTTTGCTTGCCGGGGGCCAATGAGAGTTGTTGTCCCAAGGAGCTGTGTGTACATGATGGGGCGGAAATAAAATATCTAAACTCTGAAGATTCCAGAGATGAGATCCTGAGCAGTTTTGGAGGAAACTGACTACTCACAAAGTGTACCCCATTTCACTGTGACTTTGGAGGGAAAATGCTGTGGTTATGAGATAGAGACAAAGTAACATATAATAGGCACTGGTGATGGGATAGAGAAAACGTAACATGAAGTGCAAATGAGGTCTTCTGGAGAAATATTTTTTTACAATTTTTTGTTATCATGTTCTAAAAGCTGTAAAAGCTAATGCCAATTTATTTTCGCATTTGGAAATGCTGTTCCTGACTGTATGAAGACACAGTATTTTATGCACATTGGAATGGTCAGGAGTAAATAAATCCTTGAAAGAATCAAGGGGGATAAAAATAGAAAGTTGATTAACCAAGAAGTCATGAATTAGGATTGGATGTTGCTGTTTAGTTCTTACATCTAACAGGTGTGTAGATAGAAAAGCGAGCTACAAATCCTAAGGAGAGGCGAACAACAGCACAGCAGTTCTTTCAAAGGTTTGTAATCCAATCCCAAAGGAGAGATTTTAGGTCATGAGAAGGCAAAGGGAAAATAAAGATTTGAACAAGTGTAAGTAAAATCCCAGCATGTGTCCATTTACTTATTAATGTTTTTACAAAATACAACCTGGAAAAAAGCAAGTGGAATTTATAGAAATTGGAATCACCTGCCTATTGGGATGTCTCTGAAAGGCTAAATATAGCATAACCCATTGCCTACATCGTCCCAGGATATTTCCAACTTGGGCATGAAAATCCTACATCCTGGGAAACCCATAACTCTGGAGGAATTTGGAACAACTGGTACCCTACTCAGAATACCCCATTTCTAAATCAGAGTTCTGGGTACACAGGTGTGGTATATGTGCAGGAACTTGCTGAGCTGGATACCTATGTACTTTGCAGCATATACTGGTACCAGGATAAAAAGTGTTCTGAAAGCTGATTCAAACTGAGACATAAGGGCCAGAGCAATAGTACAGCATTTGGGGTGTTTCCCTTGCATGTGGCCAACCTGGGTTTGATCCCCAGCGTTCCATATGGTCCCCTGAGGATAGTGAGGAGTAATTCTGAGTGCAGAGCCAGGAGTAAGTCCTGAGCACCATTAGGTGTGGCTCAAAAACAAACAAAAAAACATTAGACATGAATGCCCATGGTGGGGCAGTGAATGAGGGGATGAGCTGTACCTGGGTCTGAAGCTCAGTTCGCTGCACCTGAAGGGCAGAGAGCACCTCCTGGGACTCTTGCAATTCACTCTGCAAAGCAGCCACTTCCTGTTCAGTTACAGACTTTTCCTGTGCAAAACAAAAGAAAACAAAAATAGTAGTTACAATACTCGCATATGACTGGCCGAGGGATGGGTACACGAGCATTGTATGACTGAAACAAGCACGAAAATTTGTAAGTGTAGATCAGGTGATTAACTAATAAAAAATTATTTAAAAAAACTCGTATATGCTTAGCAAGAGCAAAAATGGTAAGCCCTATTATGTTTGTACGCCCTCCTAATAATTCATATGGTGAAACCCAAACCCAAGATGATCTTTGGGGGATAATTGAGAGCATTAGAGTAGGACCAGTTCAACAGAGAGGAAGAAGCATATATCAAAGAAAAGGCCTGTGAGGACATGATGGGTAAGCAACTGCCTGCAGGTCAGGTGATGCGTCCTTACCAGGAACTTAATCTGCTGGAACCCTGATCTTGGACTTCAGCTTAGAGAAGTATGAGAAATAGATGGCTGTCAACTGAGATTTCGGTCTGCGTAATTTGTTACAGCAGCCCCAGCTGACTAAGACATGCCACTGCTGATGCCTTTTCCTGAGCCATCAAATGTGTGAGTGGGAGATCTAGGGACCTTTTCTCTGCAGCTTCCTATTCACCTTAAATCCTGCCCTCACACCAGCCTGCAAAAAGCTTCTAGCCAAGTGTGTGTGACCCCTGATTATCAAAACAACAAAGGGAAGAGAATAGGGAAGAATGAAGACTTTTAGAAAAGCTACCTTGTGAACTAGCCACCAACCCTCTCAACATTTCACTGGGGCTGGGGGTGTGGCCTCCACTGTAGGGGGCATGGCCTCCTCAAAAGTGGGCATGGCCTTCTGTGAGGCCAGCAGCCTCAGTGAAATTTCCCACTCCCAGCACGCTTGACTCACATCCCAACCTTCATCACCTAATTCTGTGGAAAATGCCCTTGATGCCTCAAACACAATATGACAATAAACCACTGGCGTACCCCAATTCCAACAAAAGACCATTGTACGCAAGAAGCTGTAGAAGCCCACTACTAAAGAACACCTCCTCCAATGCTTCACTAGATACCTATCATAAATCACAGAATAATGTCTGAAAGGAAAGACATTCTAGAAGGGGAGAAGGTTGACCACCATCCAACGAACCTATTCAGAATCATTTCCCTCAATAAGAGGGAACAGTGCTGGTGAACTTGAAGGTTTTACCTCTATACAACCACAACAGCGTGAAGAAACAGTGCAAAACTCCATTACAAGGAGAGGACGAAGAGTCCCGAATCCTCAACAGGGGTTACCCACAAATACGATCTCTCCAATAAAGAATTACGAGATGAAATACTGAGGATGTTCAAAGAACTCAAAGAATCAATGGAGCAGACATCCAGAAAATTAAAGGAGAAATGAAAGAAACAGTGGATCGGATAGTCAAGAAAATACGGAAAGAAATGAGAGCAGAAATAAAAATGCTACAAAAAAGAAGCGTCACAAATAAAGGATTTGGTAGATGAAATACAAAACTCAGTGGGTGCCCTCAACAGTAGAATGACTACAGCTGAAGATAGGATCCGTGAGCTTGAAGATGAGTGGCAGAAATTGTATAGGCAAAAACAAACAATGGGGAAAGACCTCAAAATAGCTCTAAGGCGAATCAGAGACCTAGGGGATGACGCCAAGAGGAACAACATTAGAATCATCGGAGTACCAAAAGAAAAGGGAGGCAACTCCAATGAAAAAGCCACAGTGAAAGAAATCATTGCTGAAAAGTTTCCAGAGTTAAAGAATACAGACAACCAGATCCAAGGAGCCAGACAGGTGCCAGCTAAAAGAGACCCTAATAAAAACACTTCAAGGCATATCATAGTCAGAATGATTGATGCCATGGATAGAGACACAAAACTTCAAGCAGCAAGATCAAATAAGGAAATCACATACTTAGGAGCACCCCTCAGATTTACAACAGACCTATCAGAGAAAACCCTCCAAGCCTGAAGACAATGGTGGGATATAGTGAAAAAAACTTAATGAAATGAACGCCTCACCAAGAATACTTTTTCCAGCTAAACTTTCACTCAAACTCAATGGAACAATACACCATTTAAAAGATAAACAACAGCTCAGGAACTTCATAGACTCAAAACCAAACCTAAAAGAAGGACTAAAGGGGCTCCTATAATTCAAGAAGAAAAATACCCATAAGCACAACAAACCCTGACAGAAAGATGGCACAAAACCCCATGAAAATAATCTTTCTCAATGTCAATGGTCTAAATGCACAAATCAAGAGATACAGAGTGACAAAATGGATCCAGAAACTGAAACTAAAAGTCTGCTCCTACAAAAAACTCATCTGAACAGTCAGAGCAAACACAGACTCAAAGTTAAAGGATGGAAAACAATCCTGCAAACAAAAAACTCCCTCAAAAAGGTTGGGGTGGCCATACTAGTATCCGACAACATAGATTTCAGGTTGAAAAGGATTAGAAGGGACAGCAAAGGCCATTTTCTATTTATCAAGGGATAGGTACAACAGGAAGAAGTCACACTCTTAAGTGTATATGCACCTAATGAGGGACCAGCTAAATACTTAAAACAGCTGCTAACATATTTTAAGGAGGACATTGCTAGCAATACAATAGTAGTTGGAGACTTCAATATTGCCTATCACCTCTGGATAGATCAACAAGAACAAATATCAGCAAGGAAACACTGGCTTTTAAGAAAGAAATAGAAGAGAGAGGGCTAACAGACCTAGACAGGGCTTTACACCCCAAAAGAAAGAATATACATTCTTTTCCAGTGCATGCAGAACATTCTCTAAAATAGACCACGTGCTGGGTCACAAAACATACCTCAATAGAATCAGGAATATAGAAATTGTATCAACCATCTTTTCAGACCACGTTGAGCTGAAGATGGAAGCAATCACACACAGACACGGAGAAGCAAATCAAACACCTGCAAATTAAACAACTCAATGTTGAACAATGAGTAGGTCAGGAGGGAAGTCAAGGATAAAATCAAAAGATACCTGGAAACAAATTAGAATGAAGACACGAGCTACCAGAACCTATGGGACGCAGTTAAAGCCGTGTTAAGAGGAAAGCTTATAGCGTTGCAACTTATAGCAAAGCAAAGAGATAGGCAACTTATAGCCAACATAGATAACGTGACTTATCAGCTCAAGATCTTAGAAAAAGACCAACAGAAGGAACCCAAACCTGGCCAAAGGAAAGAAATAATAAAACTAAGAGCAGAAATTAACAACATGGAAACCCAAAAATCAATCCAAAAGGTAAATGAAACCAAGGGCTGCTTCTTTGAGAAAATAAACAAGATTGATAAAACAAGAGCAAGACTCACAAAGAAAGAGAGAGAGAACCCTAATAAACCGAATCAGAAATGAAAAACGGGACATCACAACAGAAACCAATGAAATTCAAAAGATCATCAGAGACTACTTTGAGAGTCCGTATGCCAAGAGAACAAGAGAAACAAGAGAACCTAGAAGAAATGGATAAATTCCTGGATTCCTAAAATCTCCCAAGACTGAGCCAGAAAGACTTGGAATACCTGAATAGACCCATTTATATCAAGGAAATCGAAACTGTAATCAAAAGTATTCCCAAAAACAAAAGCCCAGGCCCAAATGGATTCACTAGCGAATTCTTCCAAACCTTTAAAGAAGACCTGCTGCCAGTTCTCCTCAAGTTTTTCCAGGAAACTGAAAAAAACAGGAACTCTACCAGTTTCTATGAGGCACATATCTCCCTAATACCGAAAGCAAACAAAGATACCACTAACAAAGAAAATTACAGGCCAATACCTCTGATGAACACGGATGTAAAGATCCTCAACAAAATATTAGCAAATAGAATCCAACAGCTCATCAAAAAGATCATACACCACGACCAAGTGGGATTCATCCCAGGGATGCAAGGATGGTTTAACATTCAGAAATCAATCAACATAATCCATCATATCAATAAAAGTAAAGATAAAAACCATATGATTATATCAATAGGTGCAGAGAAAGTGAAGTAGAGCAAGGAAAACCTCTTTGACAAATGGTACAGCATAACTGGACAACCTCATGCAAAAAAAAAAAATGGGCGTAGACCTCAACTAAACATCACACACAAAAGTCAGATAAAAGTGGATTAAAGACCTCAACATCAGACCAGAATCCACAAGGTACATTGAAGACAAGGTCGGCAAAAACCCTCCACGATATTTACGCTAATGGTATCTTCAAAGATGACATGCTACAGACCAACCAAGTGGAAACAGAGAAAAACAAATGGGACTATATTAAACTAAGAAGTTTATACACCACAAAAGATACACTGACCAGAATACAAAGACAATCTACAGAATGGGAAAGGATATTCACCTAATACCCATCCGATGAGCTGGAGCGATAGCACAGTGGTAGGGTGTTTGCCTTGCACGTGGCCGACATGGCCGACCTGACTTCAATTACACCACCCCTCTCAGAGAGCCCGGCAAATGGCAAACTACTGAAAGTATCTCACCCGCACGGCAAAGGCTAGCAAGCTACCCGTGATGTATTCGTATTTGATATGCCAAACACAGTAACAACAAGTCTCACGATGGAGACGTTACTGGGCCCGCTCGAGCAAATCTATGAACAATGGGAGGACAGTGACAGTAACAGTGACCCATCTGATAAGAGGTTGATATAAAAAATATACAAAGCACTGGTTGAACTCCACAAGAAGAAAACATCCAACCCCATCAAAAAACGGGGTAACAAAATGAAGAGAAACTTTCTCAAAGAAAGTTTCATGGCTAAAAGGCACATGAGAAAATGCTCTACAGCACTAATCATCAGGGAGATGCAGATCAAAAGAACAATGAAATATCACCTCACACCATAGAAACTGGCCCACATCCAAAAGAACAAAAGTAACCGGTGTTGGCACAGATGTGGGGGAAAGGGGACTCTCCTTCACTGCTGGTGGGAATGCCGACTGGTTAAGTCCTTTTGGAAAACAGTATGGATGATTCTCAAAAAATTAGAAAT